ATACATTCAAAAAATAAAAATGATTGCTAAAAATCGTCAAAGTCAAGAGACTGAGTTTTTTCTGTTATTCCAGAAGGGTAAATTTGGGAAACTGGTTTATACCATTTAGCAGTCCTAGAGGTCCAGTGGACTAGGGTTGTTCAGTTCTTATAACTTCGGCCCAAAACTGAGCCTGACACTTCATAGGCTATGCGGGGTGTTTTGTTCCTTCCAGGTTTTACATTGTAAATTGTAAATTGTAAATTGAAGACCGTTCGTTACGGCCATGGTTATAGGCCTTATGGCCCTGTAACTTTTGTTAAAAGCGACAATAAAAAAAATGTTAAATTTTTATCTTAATTGAGTTCTTAAAAATAATTAATAATTAATAAAATAATTAACATTTATTATTTAATAAATTAAATTAAATTTATAAATAAATATTTTTAAATATTATATATATATATATATTTTTTGAACATATATTTGCAAGGGACGGGTTTTGAACTCAGCCCGGGGAGAGGGGAATGCATCGAGGTGGCTATTGCCACTAGACCGCAAGCGCCAGGTGCTTTTAAATATTATAATTAATCATCATAAAAACCTAAAAACTGATATAATTACAGTTAAATTAGTAACTTTTGTAACTTTAACAAAAGTTAAGATAACAATAATCTCAACAAGTCAGTTATCCGAAAAAAAATAAAAATCATAACATGCTAAATGCTAGAATTTTTTGTAAAAAAATTCCAGAAATCAATGCAGAGCGGATAGAGTAAATTCCGTACCCGTACCGTATCTCAAATGCTTAATTAATTCTAACGACTAGAGTATACTGGTACAACAATGAAACACAGATGTTGTATCTCAATTTCAAGGCCCGTGATATCAGGCAGCACTTTGAAGAATTTAATGTACTCGAACTGCCCATATCTCTGCTCAAATCCTCTTTTGCTGCTGAGACTCTGGAACAATTTAGCTTCCAGATACAGATGGGACTGTAGCCGGCTTTGCATCCTCAGCTTTCTCATGTTCCTTGTTTAGAATCTGAAACCAGGTTGCCACATAAAACAAACATTTACATGCTGACACGGATCATATGTACCAGGGTAATCACTTGAGATGGAAGGATTCTCACCTTGTTATTAATCAAGTTATGAAGTGCAATGATGCTACGGATGAGTGATGAAAGATATATAACCAACATCATATCATTTGTTTTTACTGCACAAAAAGAATGGAATATGATCAGTTATTGAACCTAAAAAAAATGTCAGCCAATTACTTCTGACTTGGGCTTTCTTATTACCTGCAAAGGCCTTGATTAATTCAGCTACATTGAGGTTTGGCAGCAAGTTGAATACATCCTGCAATTTTAACATAGTAGACAATGGTGAAAAACAAAAAGTCAAAAAGAGAAAAGACCTTATCATGCAATTTTTCACTCAATTTCTGCCCAACTAGCAAACATGCAGAAAGCTACTTGAATATGTAGCCACATTGCCTAGGGCTATGTCATGGCATGATTAATGTAAAAGTGGACTCAAGTGGGTACCAACTTGACTAAGCTCTTGTAAGCAAACAAATTTAAACTTACTATAACGCATAACAATCACAGGCATATTCCTCAAAGAATCACTAAACAATGTGATAAAAATTTCGTTGCAGTTACAAGGGACACAATGACCCCAGATGGGGCATCTGAGGTCCAATCACAGCTTTAAAATGTTGTTTTTATCCTGGATTTAAGATATACCTAACATTTAAGCAAAGTCAGTACCTTGATTTCAATCTCTTTGTTAGACTCTCATTCAAGTGAGCATTGTTTTTAAGAGAATTGCAAAAGAGGAAAACAGGACAAAATATTATCATATGCATAAGATCAATAAAAATCTGAAGGTTTTCAGATGAAATACAGTAAAACAACTGCAAACTAAAAAATTGAAAAGTAAAAATTTCACCTGCAAATGGTAAAGGATTTCATGGTTCAATGGAAGCTTCTCATCAATAACAAGATCAAGGTAAGAACGTATCTCTTGTAGCCGGGCATCTAAACCCTTTAAGGCTGTAAGTTTTCCAGTAACCTATACAAGAAAAAGGTAACTGTCATCATTCATTCCCTTCAATTTCAATATGGTTTGCATCTTCCAAGAAAGTTAAAAGCATAAATTTTCAAGCAAAATTTTCAACTTTATAAGAAAAATAAAGAATGTATAACTAATAAAAAGAAAATAAACCTCAGTTGCAAGGGTACTAATGGTTGTATCTTTCACATCTCTAAGCAAGTGCTCCACTCCTGTTGAAGATGAGAAGGGAACATTAGTGTAGCATCAGTAAAAATTAATACAAAAAACCAACTCGAATTTTGTCAAAGTGAAAAATTGCCCAGGAACTAATGTAATCTTGTCACATAACATACCGATCTCCTCAACTTCATGAGCAGCAATTTCAGAAGGAACATGGACAAAAACCTTCTGGCTTTTTTGAGTAGCATTCTGTGACCACAAAATGATATTAGTAGCTTCTTCAAGTGAATGAAAGGTGGAAACCAACTCGGAAAAATAATGATGATTAGGAGCCTCTGCTCAGGACAACAGAGGAACTGCCTTGATAATTAAATAGCCTCCCTTATATTGCATGTTAAAAATTCCTACCTCTTTGACCTCTTCCACATCACAGTATGCGTTGGTAGGTATACCCAACTCCTTGGGCTGGACATCAATAATGACTAGGACAGGATTTGGAACATAGCTATAACATGAAAAGACCTAGATCAAAAGAATGAACTTCAAAGAAAGAAAAGGGTAATAGAGTACACTTGGGGAAGAAATACACAACCAAGATATATAGACTCTTACTTGTGGAATAAGCTGTGAATGTCAAGATCATTCTCCCGTAATTTTGGGCCAGTGCTATACCAACCTACAACGTGCTCCTTTGCTGCAAAGGTTATCGTACAAGGCTACAAGTTAAGATCTACCAAAACCTCTCCCAGGGGAAAAAAAAAAAAATGGAAATAGAAAATGAAAATATCATTAAAAAGCAGGCATCACCATTCATAGGGACAACTAGTTACCATTGATCCTTTTGAACATCGAAAACATAGATTCATGATAGTTGTGGTCAAGAAACCATATGCTAGTGTCCTTCTCGTCTTCTTCAAAAGGCACTGAAAATTGAAAGATTCTACAGTCCATGTCATATGATGAATAAAGTTTCGATACAAATTAAAACATAATAAGAAGAATAAGATCATAAACCATTGCCTAACTATAAAACCAAGGTAACACACCTTTTGTTGCTGCACAACTTTCAGATACAAAAGTGCGGATTAATTTATCATCATGCATGTTAAATCTACATAACCTATACTATGAAAACATCTAATCAGACATTATCAAGTCAGATGTGCTAATGAACTGTATGTGAAAACGACTAATTTCTGCATAGGCAGAAGGTAATACTAGACAGATCACAGCAATACTGAGAAACAACTATTCTGTTCGAAATATAAAAGAAAATCTTGCTCAATTGAGCATCAAGATCCACTACAATTGTCAACTTAAACCCTAAAAGGCAAACTCCCTAACTATGACAAAAAAATGAACTAAAACCGAGCTCAATCAAAATGCAATTTACCTAGCAATCAAGTGAAGATAGAAACAATTCCACGAAAAATTCGAATCGAATTCAATATAATCAGATCTAGAGTGAAATTCAGGGCGAGAAACGAGCGGATAAAGGAAAACGAACCTGCATAGCTATTGGTGACATCGACGGTGCCTTTGAAGGAGGTGCCGAGGAGAACTCCGACGACGCGCTTGCGAGTGTCTTTGGCGACTCGGTTGTAGTTGTCGACTATGCTGAGTAGAACCAGAGGATGCACAATTACCTTCTCTATCGGCCGAGAAGATATCTGCTGCGTCTTTATCACGTCCATTGAAGATCTCCTCCAACGCTAATTGCTTTGATTTCTCTCTGCAAATATCAAACCCTGCTTTCTCCTTCCTGCTTTATTGTTCAGAGAGAAATCGCAATACCGTTTGGTAACCTCTTTGTTTGACACTCTAGTTCTCCTTCAATTCTTTAAAATAAGGTTAAAACTTAAATGTCAAGTGTTAGTCCAAACCTTTCTGACATGAGACAACTTCATCCTTAATCTTCAATTTAGGAGTTTTGCATCCTAAAGCTTTATGACACCACCCGCTAATGGTCCTTTGGTGAAAAAGATGTTAAAATTTAAAACCCGCGGGAGTATCTTGTTAGATTTAAATTTTAAGTTTTGAAAATACTATTTATGAAAATTAAATTTTTTAAATGTATCGTATCAATATAAGATATATTTTTAAAATTATTTATAGAATAACTAGTTTCAAA